TTATAATATGTTGGTCTGTGTAGGTAAGTGTATTTTCTCCATGTTATAATATGTTGGTCTGTGTAGGAAAGTGTATTTTCTCGCCCATGTTATAATATGTTGGTCTGTGTAGGTAAGTGTATTTTCTCCCCCATGTTATAATATGTTGGTCTGTGTAGGTAAGTGTATTTTCTCCCCCATGTTATAATATGTTGGTCTGTGTAGGTAAGTGTATTTTCTCCCCCATGTTATAATATGTTGGTCTGTGCAGGTAAGTGTATTTTCTCCCCCATGTTATAATATGTTGGTCTGTGTAGGTAAGTGTATTTTCTCGCCCATGTTATAATATGTTGGTCTGTGTAGGTTAGTGTATTTTCTCCCCCATGTTATAATATGTTGGTCTGTGTAGGTAAGTGTATTTTCTCCCCCATGTTATAATATGTTGGTCTGTGTAGGTAAGTGTATTTTCTCCCCATGTTATAATATGTTGGTCTGTGTGTAGGTAAGTGTATTTTCTCCCCATGTTATAATATGTTGGTCTGTGTAGGTAAGTGTATTTTCTCGCCCATGTTATAATATGTTGGTCTGTGTAGGTAAGTGTATTTTCTCCCCCATGTTATAATATGTTGGTCTGTGTAGCTAAGTGTATTTTCTCGCCCATGTTATAATATGTTGGTCTGTGTAGGTAAGTGTATTTTCTCGCCCATGTTATAATATGTTGGTCTGTGTAGGTAAGTGTATTTTCTCCCCCATGTTATAATATGTTGGTCTGTGTAGGTAAGTATATTTTCTCCCCCATGTTATAATATGTTGGTCTGTGTAGGTAAGTGTATTTTCTCGCCCATGTTATAATATGTTGGTCTGTGTAGGTAAGTGTATTTTCTCCCCCATGTTATAATATGTTGGTCTGTGTAGGTAAGTGTATTTTCTCCTCCAGACAGAGTTTACAGCTTTGGGGTTGATTGTTATAGGCTTATACTGTTTTTCTTTATTTTCCATGATATATATTTGTTGTGATTTTTTTGCCTTTAATTTCCCATATATATTTAGAAAGCATTGTGCTGTTCGTGTATTTACTACTTGTAAAAGATGTTTTGTGTGAATAGTTTCTTTCTTTTCAGGGTCCTTCAGTTACTCCTACGCATATTCTTTCTTCGTTATCTCCTGATTGTACACTTGATTGATATATTACATGGTTCTGGTAATAAATTGTCGTTTAAGGGACATTAGTTTTTTGTTCTGCAGTTACACGTGGGTTTGATTTGTGCAGGTGGTTTGTTGATTGTTTTCGTGTTGTGTTTTTATTATTTGTGTCAAGTTCTCGGTGCAATTATAGCTGTTTTTTTACTGTATTTTTGTTTTGATATGGAGAGTGCTTCACGGGAGAAGCGTTTGCGAATGAGTTTAATGAATATTTTTCCGACATTTGTTTTTACGTTTTGGTTATACGGTGGGTTGAATCATATGATATATCTTACCCTGTTTGCATTTTTGTGCTGTGGGATGAATATGTGAGTGTTGGCGAAAATCCGCTATCTTTTAGGGCTGTTTGCTAGTCTTTCTTGGCTTCGGTGAAAATGGTTTCCCTGGAGGAATTATCAGATAACCTGCTGTTTATTGGATCTGCTTGATTATTGACGGTGGGTGGTTGGAAGATGCGTGTATTTAGAGTGGGATAAGATATAAAATATACAGAGTGCCATAAGCAAAATAATTATATTAAAAATAAACAAATAAATATAATAAATTAATCCAAATCAATAAATAAGAACATAAATTAAATAAATCATAAACAAATGAACAAACTACGAATGCACACATAAGCACAAGCAAATGTAATAATGACAATCGTCAACAAATTGCAAAGCAATTGATAATAAAGTTAACAAATAGCAATATAAAATAGCCTCAAAACGGCATTCAGTTCCACAATGATTTCCACTCATTAACCCCTAGAATAATTTGAAAAATAACCATTACCGCTCCCCAATAACGATTACAATAGAAGTACCCATAATGCACCACGGATCAGCCTATATAAACAGACGAGCCAAAATACAACGCACATGGACTGACGAATGCGTTTAAGCAGGGAAAAGACTGTCGCCGCTGCGTGTTGATCTCAATGTCCAACTTTATATTTACACATCCTCCATTCCTTGATGTCTTAACTCATAAATATAGCAAACCTTAAAACTATGTACTTCCACTGAATTTTCGATACCTAATTTTTAACATTAAATTTTAAAAATGAAAAAGCATTCTTGAAGATCTCATTCTAGTTTTAATTTAAAGCTAAGTGATTAAATTTATTATTTCCAGTAAGTAAAATATGCTGGTGTATTTAAGGTAGAAATTATATAGATTGGAATATCAAATAATCGCTCGATTTAAAAAGAAAAAAAATTTAAGCATTTTCTTAATTTTAAGAAATTTGTAAACAAACAAATTTATCGGGTTTAAAATTCATTCAAAATTAAATTGTAGATTTGTGACACGTTATTTGAGTAAAATTAGAAAATTTAAAGTTAAATTAATTTGATTTGAAATAAATATTACTTATAGTATAAAAAAAAAACAATATACAAGGATTTCTTAGCGATGGGTTTCTCTTTCTTTGATCGTTATTTGATTTATCGAGAAGCTTTCAAGGTGATGACAGATCTTATGGATGACCAGAAATGACATATTTATGAAAACTAAATGAACACATTTTTTTTAGGTAGTTTTAAACTACCCAGTAATTTTTACAAATTAACATATTTTCAGCAATTATTTAATATTATATTGACTAAAAATTCAGTTTTTAAGAAGCTTTATGAAATTTACGCTTCTAAGTTCTTAAGTTTACTACCTTAAACAAAAAACAAAACAAAAACAAAAAAAAATTGAATTATTTAATCAAACTTGTTTGGATATATGCATATGTTTATTTGCCTGTCGGTCTAAAAGTGTGGGTTTTTGTGTGTATGTGTGTGTGCTTGTGCGCGTGTGTGTGTGTTTGCGTGTGTATGTATGTGTGTGCGTGTGTGTGTGTGCGTATGTGTGTTTGTGTGTGTCATGTACGTGTGTGTTTGTGTATGTGTGCGTGTGTGTATGTGTGTGTGCTTGTGTGTGTGTTTGCGTGTGTATGTATGTGTGTGCGTGTGTTTATGCGTGTGTGTGTTTGTGTGTGCATGTGCGTGTGTGTTTGCGTATGTGTGCGTGTGTGTGTATGTGTGTATGCGTGTGTATGTATGTGTGTGCGTGTGTGTGTATGCGTGTGCGTGCGTGTGTGTGCATATGCGTGTGTGTTTGTGTATGTGCGCGTGTGTGTGTATGTGTGTGTGTGTGTGTGTTTGTGTATGCATGTGCGTTTGTGTTTGTGTGTCTGTGTGTGCGTGTACGTTTGTGTGTGTGTGTGTGTGTGTGTGTGTGTGTGTGTGTGTGTGTGTGTGTGTGTGTGTGTATTGTTGCCGGAAATTATCGGTATGGTCTGATTTTTAAAACCTATTGAAAATAATTACAAAGATAACGGACACGTAAAGAATTTATATAAGACAGAGGTTCGCTATGTAACATCGCCTCTAGTGCGCAGTCCCCGGGCGAGTTTGATGAGAGATCGGCGGTTGGCCATGCAGCACGTCTGCCCTCTCCACGCTACCGATGCTTCCCAAGTGAAAGCCTGTGGCCAACGTAACTTGGCATCGGCGTCGTCACAGGAATTGCCAGAACGAAATTAAACATCATATCGGACTGTCTTTGTCCTCAGCATTTATATATAAACACAAATGTTTAATTTTAAATAGCAATTTAATTTTTTTACAAAAGAAAGATATAATTTCATGCCTCAAATTAATCAGATGAGAAGATGAATGTTCAATTGAACATCCTATTTCAGTTTTTTTTAAATCAATTCACCCCAAGCAAGGCGTTAATGCCACTAAAGCACAATCTACTCTTGGTGGCACTAGGAACTCTCAACGGAGCAGTAAGTATTCAGCTGAGGTATAAGAACGCGATAATTTTATCAAGACAGTAAAATATTTTTTTATAATGACGTTTACACTTTACAAGGCCCAAGGGCCACTCTAGGTAGAATATTACAGAGGTAAGAGGCACCATTCCAAGCAAAATGATAATGCCACCGAATCGCAAAGAGGCCACCGGAAGTGGAACAGCAGGGAAAGAATTTAGAATGAAACGGAATCCCAATCTTAAACAGGAAACATGGGACAGACTAATCCTTTTCAAAAGATCAGGGAGCGGTGTGACGATAGGCGAATCTATCTACTCCTATTGAGAAAAAAAAAAGTTAATCAAAAGTAAATAAAAGTTCAGAGTTTTAAGCTGAGACGTTTGGAGTATAGAGTTGAAGTAAACATCTTTAAGAAACCGGAAACCCAATTCTAAACAAGAAACAATGGATAATGTCTACTCCTGTTGAATAGACCGAGGTGGAGTGTGAACCGGGCGATAGACTAACCTATCTATTCCTATTATAAATTGTACTTAAAATAAAAAAAGAGTTGAAATTTATGGGGCTGATAATAAGGAAAAAAGTTTGACGAAGAGACAGAGGGAAGCTGCGAGTAACGTACTTAATAAGCTTTTCGGTAAATTGTTATTAACTTAGCACAAATATCTTCTGCGATATTTTGCCATACTTTGTGTGTTTTTCTTCCTCTCACGTGCCTTTTTAACTTTACCATGAGTTTCCAAATGTCTTCAGTTATCTTGAAGTTATTTAGAGACTAATTTAGAACTAGGTTTTAGATCATCATCATGGATAAAGCAGTAACCAGATTTCAGTTTCAGACATAAAAAAAAACTGATCATAGATAATGTGACCAAATGATTTCTGACTTATATTCAGTAAGAAGGCGTTGTTAAAGAAAAACACAACACTTCAGGGAAACACGTCGCGATGCAGTGACGTGGATTTCTCCAGGCAATTTATGTTTAAAAACGACTAATAAAGATTTTTCAACACATTCATACTCTGCTTTCTATAATTTTCCGTGCGAATAATAAGTGGTTAAATGATTCGAAATAAAACCGTGCCTTTTGTTCAGTATTTTTCTCTCTCTCTCTCTCTCTCGCTCTCTCTCTCTCTCTCTCTCTCTCTCTCTCTCTCTGTTCAACATACAAGAGATATGTTTTTGTCATTTTTCTCTTTCTGTTCAACATACAAGAGGGATGTTTTTTGTCATTTTTTCTCTTTCTGTTCAACATCCGAGAGGTAAGGTTTTTGTCATTTTTTCTCTCTCTGTTCAACATATGAGAGGGATGTTTTTTGTCATTTTTTCTCTCTCTGTTCAACATACGAGAGGTATGTTTTTTGTCATTTTTTTCTCTCTCAGTTCTACAAGAGAGATGTTTTTTGTCATTTTTCTCTTTCTGTTCAACATACAAGTGGGATGTTTTTTGTCATTTTTTCTCTCTCTGTTCAATATACGAGAGGGATGTTTTTTGTCATTTTTTTCTCTCTCAGTTCTACAAGAGAGATGTTTTTAGTCACTTTTCTCTTTCTATTCAATATACGAGAGGAATTTTTTTGTCATTTTTTCTCTTTCCGTTCAACATACAAGAGGGATGTTTTTTGTCATTTTTTTCTCTCTCTGTTCAACATACGAGAGGGATGTTTTTTGTCATTTTTCTCTCTCTGCTCAACATATGAGAAGGAGTTTTTGTCAATATTATTACGATTGTTCAATGAAGTTCACTAACCAATGGTATTTTGTCGAGTGTGATAGAGAAATAGGGCATGATAGTTTGTTTTTTTTTTACTTCAAATTGTTACAGATGATGGCACTAACTTTTTTATTACATTTTTTGTTGTTGTTGCTGTTGTTTTTGTTGTGTTTTACGCCATTTAAATCTGATTTCGCTTGGCTTGCGAGGCAGTCAAAATACCACGAAGGCGGCATTCAGGTTATGGGACGACGATGATGACGATAAGAAGATGGAGGCGGAGTGGGAAAGTGGGTGTAAATTTTTTAGTGAAAGAGACGAACAGAAAACTGTGGGTGTAAGGAATTATTGTAGTGCCCACGAAACATGGCCAACTTTCTCTTCGATGTAAACGTCCGGAACTCATTCTAATGATTCATATGCAGTGCATCGCCATACCAACAAGTAAGTAAATAAAAGAAAGGTAAGAATGATTTAGTACGAAACTTTCCCCCACAAGTATATCACCATCTCCCTCTGGTATCTGTCTGTCGAGTAGTTTGTTGGTCTGTCTATCTACCACGTAATTTGGATATCTTTTTACCCTTCATGTATTTTCAGGATGCCGGCCATAGGACGATGATTAGCAAGCTAGTCTCGTAGAACATCTTTATTGTAGGGAGTTCCATTCCTACTTCGTGTCCTCTGCGGCTGTAGTCCTGTAACCAGAATTAAACTAAAGTGCGCCAAACGTTGAGCAATACGTCCTTAGAACGTCGCTGATAAACAAGTTCGTTTCTGATCAGCTTCTACGTTGCGCTGGTATCTTTGCCTAAAACAAAGCTAACTAGATTACTTACACCAAATTTCACCTATTACAAGGTTCGAGAGTCCCTCAAAGTGGAGAGTTACTGATAAATGACAATGAGGAATGCTGTGTTGGAGATGAATGAAAGAGGAGGTGGTAAGAGTTGAGCATTTTGAGTATAACCGGAATAGATAAACCTTGATTTGAAGAGGTCCAAGACAGTAGTTGTCAGGAAAGCATCCACGTGGGGAGTCTGTTTACACAAAATGGCGTCTTTTTGAAAAAAATGTTTATATATATATATATATATATATATATATATATATATATATATATATAAACCTAAATAAACTATATATAAAACTAAATATAAAATTAAATAAACATAAATCAAATTATCCTGGTGGTCTGATATATATATATATATATATATATATATATATATATATATATATATATATATATATATATATATATATATATCGCACATTAAGTGCTTCTGTTAATAAAATAATGGTATTTGGTTTGTAATTGGTAATGGTTTTATTTTATATTTAGGATAAGTGGTATTATGTATTAAAATAAACGAACTTGAAACTATAAAAACCTTTATTTAAAATAAATGGGATTTATATTTTATATTTAACATAAACAGAGTTTAATTTTTTTTTAATTTTCTATTAAAACTATAAAAAAAAGAAAAAATATTTTGTATTTAAGATACACGGGATTTACGTTTTATAAACGGTAATTAAAGGTTTTATTTTGAAAATATGTATGTATATGTTTTGAAATGTGTATATTTATTAATAGATATATATTAATATATATATATATATATTGAGTATGACGGACAAGGAAAATTTGATTCATTTTTTATTTAGTTTTTCCACTATTCTTACATTTTTTTTCCCATTTGCTAGGAGTAAGGGAGTGCAAAAATTAACCACTGCCGTAAGCGCTTTCGGCCAATTAGCCATTTTCAAGTGAGGTTATTTTGGGGTGTTGTTAATTTATTTTCATGTTTTTCATGGAAAGTTTGAAGTAAACGCTACTATGACATATTTAAACAGCACAAAATATATACCTTAAACTGACAAACAGGTAAAAGGGTTGTGAATAAACGTTATTCACAGAACTTACTGTTTATTTAAGATCCATGTTGTTAACTCATTGCCAAGACAGATGGTCAGAGTCATTGTCGTGAAAAGGAATTAAGATAAAGGAAATAAAGGCCTTAAATTAATAATAATTTTAAAAAATTACTTCAAACACCTCTGCTGAGTTTAGTAGCTATGAGGTTAACTTAAAAGCTGAAATAAACAAAAACATCTCCAATTATGCTTATACTTCATATTCTTTGAATAAAGTGATTAAAACAGGGAATCAGGTTATAAATATTAAGAATTTTAGAAAATAAAAAACAGCTACACACACACACACACACACACACACACACACACATATATATATATATATATATATATATATATATATATATATATATATATATATATATATATGAATAAAAACAGAGCGCTTTAAGGTTCCATGAAATAAGTTATTTTTGCCAGAGCCCTTTAAAGGACTCTGGATCATCAGACTTTACTCACAAAGGTTGAACCTTACATGGAACCTTAAAGTGGTCTGTTTTTATTCAAATTTATTTGCTCTGAATTTACATTGAGCTCTCTGGATATCATCCTCCTTGGGTCTACCCATACGGATTACCTAGTTTTGCATAAACTATACATATATTTATATACATATATATATATATATATATGTATGTGTGTGTGTGTGTGTGTGTGTGTGTGTGTGTGTATAACGAGCAATTTCTAAAGAATTAATGGATTTTTTAAATTAATTTTACATATTTTTATTACTTTAAAGTTGTTTTTATTGGATAGTCATATTTGAGTATATACTCCATTTATTTAAAAACTACGATATTTAGTTTTGTCTGCCAACCTGAAAATTCAAGAAATCATATTAAATAATAATAATCACTCGGGAACAAGCAGCCATTCATTTGCAATCGTTTATAAATCATATATATATATATATATATATATATATATATATATATATATATATATATATATATATATATATATATATATATATATATAATTACATGAATCATTCATAGAAAAAACAAATATAGAATGTATTCATGTATGAATGATTCATGTAGTTATAAATTGAACTGCACCTATAACTGAAATTAAATATATATATATATATATATATATATATATATATATATAATTATTTATTGCAATCTATGACCTCAGGTATTTATCTCTGAAAAATTCACTTGAGGCGATTTTGAAACTGTAAGATGCCTCAAGAATTCAAAAATGCACTGTTTGCCTGTTATACCGTCGTAACGGCGAAAAGATACAATAGCTTTTATAACGTTGCGGTAAACGACACATAATTTAAGAATACGGATAACCGTCTATAATAATGCCATGAAGTGCAATAAATTTGTATAAATGCTAATGTTTAGTTTCACTAGACTGTTTATGCCTTGAATTCGTTTTGGTTTATATTATACAGCCATAATATAAACATTCGACTCTTTATTCTTTAGTTAATTTTAACGAGTGGTAGCCAGTAAAATTATAGTAATTTTCCAAGCGTAGCTTAGATGTGGCACAAGGCCCGAAAGTACAGGGCACCCAGTGAGGATCGAACTCATTACACAGTCGTAATTGTTCTAGCGCGACAAGCTTACTAACCAATACACCTCCTCGAGGCGCCTATGCGCCACTAAATGTAGTGATTTTCCAAGCGTAGCTTAGATTTCGCACAAGGCATAAAGTATGGGGTATCCAGTGAGAATCGAACTCACTACCCAGTGGTAATTGTTCTCTAGCGAGATAAACTTGCTAACTATTACACCGCTTCAAGGTACCCTAAAAAAAAGCCAGTAATATTATATGCCTAACATATACATTGCATAATGAAATAATATTATATATTTAATAATATACGAAAAACACCGGTGAAAATTTCACTGTTTTCCCATTTGGATTTTATGATTTTATAAACTTAATTCTTAAGTTAATAAATGAATAAACTCATGGTGACAATAAAATATCCATAAAAATTCCCCTATCGCATCGTTAAATATTTGAAATTAACAAATTTAACAAAATATTGCAATAACAATCTTACTTATTATAAAACGCAGATTGTGTGTGTGTGTGTGTGTGTGTGTGTGTGTGTGTGTGTGTGTGTGTGGGCATTTATATATTGGATCGGATTTCCTACATTTATCAACCGATTTCAACAAAACTTCACAAGACTACGTTAAATTGCCTTGCGGTTGTTCTAACAGTGCCAAAACTTGGAAAAACACAATTGTTTTTGCACGAAATCAATTTGAAAACACGATTAAGAGGCATCACGAGAATGAAAGGGGGACAACTCATATCGAGTTATACTTATTATAAAACCCAGGTTGTTTGTGTGTGTGTCTGTTCGTTTATATATACATTTTTCAACCGATTTAAAAAAAAAAACTTCACTTTTTTTTGGCAGTTAATGTTTCTTATTGTCTTGCACACTTTTTTCTTTATTTTTACATTCAGAATGCTTTAAAAATTCCATTTACAAGACAATTGTTTATAATAAAATTCTATTCAATCGGTAGACTCATAACGATTAAAAATAATGTTTTTGTTTGAGTTTGGTTTGACCAATTCGTAAAAAAAAAAAAACTAATTAAGACATGCGTGTCCGTCAACCTTAAACAATAATCTTTGTCAATTTTATTTTTCAGTCTTTATGATGGTCGATACTTGATCTATCTCTTACTGTTACATCCCCGGGCAACGCTGGGCTCTACTGCTAGTCATAAATATGAATGCTGGTCGTTATTTTAGGAAGTAAGGGGGTACAAATGAAAAGATTTGAAATTGGCAATTTTTCAATTTCATTGAAACAGACGTTAAATACTTCTATCTTCCCTTCTTTCTTTCTATAATTTTCTCGCTGAAACCAAGTAGTGTCTCTTTTTCGTCTTTTCACACGATCAAGACAGCATTAGGACTTGCACCCAGCTGAACTTAGGCTATAACAACGAGATAACAGGGAATTATATAAATACACAATCTATAAGGGAAATATAGAATCACTCACATCCTTGCAGGAAGAAGATCAAATGTTTAAAGTAAGATCTGCAACCACATACCATCGATACAGCTGAGGTTAATTTGACAGAATCCAGAAGTTAAT